ATCTCGCCGCTCACGCCATTCCCTGCAAGGCATCTACCATCAGCACATGGACCCCATACAAGTGAATAGCAAAGAGTTATGAAAGTCATTGGCTGGCTGCTGATATGGGTGACACATACCTGACGGGTTCTGGCTCCTCCTCCGGGGCTTGAGAGGTGTAGTTAGAATACCCGGTGGGTGGAAAGGGGGCACCCGACCCAGTGATTGTGCCGCCAGGAGCAACTTGCTGGTAAATTCGCAGTCACGTTAGAGACTCCCCCAAGCATATACCAGACATGTCTCATACCTCGTTTTGTGTGTCGAGAGCAGGGAAGGAAGACTCGAATCCAGCGATCTCCTGAGGCTCAACACCACCCGCGGACGGGGCGGCATCCGCACCTCCCAGCAAGTCGTCGTCATTGTTTATGTCGTCGGCGACATGATCTTGGGGAGTCGCAAATTGTTCTGCATCATCACCGAGCATAGCACGTTCGCGAGCTAGGAAGTCATTTTCATCTGAGGCACCGTTGGTCTCAACAACTTCGGTCTGGCCTAGAGACCGGGGTTAGTGTTATGTAGTGTTGGCGGGCATGATGCCGGCTGCTCACCTGCAGAGAAGTCCTCCAATGAAGGGAAACGATCCGCCATACTTTTCAATTATCGTGAATTGAGTTATAGATTGATTTCGCGAAGAAGTTGAACTAAGAGAAAGGGGTCAAATGAGGAGAGATGAGAATGTGAACGTAAGGCTCCAGCTGGCGTCTTGGGGATCGAGCGGACCGTTCCAAGTATGAATGGCGAACCCCCCGGATTCTGCCAAGAAGGCGGTCTGACAGCTACACAGCAATTACCAGGTGCGACGGATGAGCTTCACTGTTCCTCAGGACCATTTCACTCTTTCACGTCAGATTTCCAGGGCAGTGGTCATATCGATCCGACTCAAGCTGAAGTGAATCTCTTTTCTATTGCGCATTCTTGGTACATTGTGCCCGTTGTCATTCGTTTCAGCATTCGCGCTTAAGGAATAGCGATCCAAGTCCAAGCTCGCGGCGATCAAAACACACTGCATTCACACATCTTTCATTACTCTTTCTACCAGATATTTCTTCTACTTCGGCCATACTAGCAAGTATTCAGAATGGCCTATACGGATGATGCTGTGAAAGCGAAGCTTTCAGCCCTCAACGAAACCCAGGAAGGCATTGTCACAGTTGCGCAATGGGTCATGTTTCACAGGTAAGATGACAACTGTTCGTATATACAAAGACTCTGCTCATATGTTATTCCAATCTTAGGCGACACGCCGAACGAACCGCACAGCTCTGGCTGCAGAAACTCCGCGATTCCCCAGCACCGAAGCGCCTGAACCTGATATATTTGGCCAATGGTATAGCTCATGTTCCGAGTCGGTTGTAGTTCGACACTAACAGCATCTCAGAGGTCGCGCAACAGTCTAGAGCTCGCCGGAAAGAGGACTTCCTCATCGCATTCTCGCCGGTTGGTTTATCATCTTTGGAACCTGGCAGGTATCAGAGGTTAACATTTACCAGATCATCGCAGAGGCCACGGCTATCGCATACAAAGGTTCCTCAAATGATATTCAGCAAAAGATTCGTCGCGTGGTTGAAGTATGGAGACAGAGATCTATCTTTGAACTTCCCATTCAGGAGGCCGTAGAAGCTCGAGTAGATGGTAGGTCGTCTTGCTATTCCATACTTCATTCATCCTGCTTACTCCGTAGTAGAGATCGATAAGTCCCGCTCTACCGGTAAAAAGCCGTTGCTAGGAGGGTCCCTCTTTTCGAGCTCGTCGGGCTCAACACCGTCTGAACTTCAGCCTCTAGTGCCTCTACAGGTAGCCGTTTCAAAGGCTACCGTGGCTTCAACTGCATCTGCCACAGCTGCGAATGCAGAGTATGACAAGATGCACGACCCCAACACGCCTTTGCCTACCCCTCCAGTGCATGCGGCGCGGCTTAGCCAGCTGTTGAAAGCCCTTGCGAATGCAGAAAGCTCTGTATCCGAGGTTATCAAATCACGCACCGCTCTCATCGAGGGTCTCGAGAAGCTCCTCGCAACCAATCGCTCAGCTTTGTCCAAGGAACAGTCAATGGTCGCACAGTTGACGGAAAGAAAATCGGAGACGGAAGCCACCAAAAGAGAGGTCGAAGATGGGATCATGCGCGGGCTCTCTGCCGAGAATTCGCCTGCGATCAACCATGGCGATGCTGGGCCAGAGGGAGAGCCTATTTCTCGTCCAGAAGTTGAGGCCCTGACTCCTCCACCAGTTGAGGCCATTACACCTGTTGGCTCTCCCAAGCAGGCCGCACAGGACTCAGACTTCAGCGCAGTACCTCCTCAACCCCAGATACTGGGTGGATTTACCCTGCCTGGGTTCGGAAATCCGGTCGATTCTTCACTTTCGGCGGCGGGCTTCCCTCCCGCGGGACTCGGCGAGCACCAAACAGACGGTTCGAACGGGCTCCATGCCAAGAGACGCAAGGTTACGCATGAAGAGGAGGATTACGCTCAATTCGCAGGCGGCGACTTGGATGCTGATGTAGCTGAGCTCTTAAAGCAGGAAGGTGATGCCCAGCAATAGGCCTTTTAGTTTCACACACTCTACGGTCGGTGGCAGGCGCAAGCTTGCTTATCTTTCATCCCGACAGACTCCATTTTTACTTTCAACATTATTTATTCTGTCGTCTTATGTGCTGTTTACTGAGAATGTAGTTATCCATTTTCTGTTGCGAGGCACGCCCATTCTTGCCTATTATGATAATATCTGGATATCCACTGTTTATGCGATTAGCAATACGGCCCAGGTTTATGCCCGCAGGACGAACTAATTTCTCTCGAAAGGAATCAATACGTCACTGGAATACATTTGAATTAGTTTCATTACTATTATCATGGAACGCTGAAATGCGAACTATCGAAATATATCCGGGTCACCCCATTTGTTTCTCGCAATCCGTAACGAAGAGGGACTCCTTCTGCGGCGGTACATGGTATGGAAGGCACGAGGAGTCATTGCGGGCGGCTGTTCATTAGTTTGCGGGGGAGGTGGCGGCGCCGGTGCCGGAGCGGGATCCGGGGAACTGTGTTTCTTCGGCTTGACTAATAAGACAATAAACAGGCCTGCGACTATGATCACCAGCAGGAGCATGATCTTGCGCTTCACTGTACGTCGTTGGTAGTTTGTAGCCTGCAAGATGCAGATTGGTTAGTAGGAGCTTTTTGCTCGGGTGGCTGCATCAGACGCGAACGTACCACTTTCAGCTCTTTATCCGCGGCCTTGACCTCCGTGCCCATCCGCTCGATATTATAGTCAATCCGATCCAGCATGGTACCCTGATCGATTACCATAGACTGCAGCTCCCGGAAAATATCCGACAGCTCAATGATTCCTTTCGCGATGTCGTTTATTTCCCGTTCCCGCTGTTCAATGGCGGCATCGTTCTGGCCCGTCAGTCGTTGCGACGTCTGCATCAGCGTGGATTGCGAGAACGACTTGTCCGCATCGGATTCCATTAGCGACGGGTCTGTGTATGGGTTCTGCATCGGTGTCGGGGAACGTTCAAACGGCGCTGATCCACCTTCCAGTCCTCGTAACTCTACCACACAACTGCGGTTAGCTTGATAAACAGACGTAGCGCAGCCCAGAATAAACTCACTCTTCAAATAGGTACTCTGTTTCTTCCGGAACCGAGCACTAGCCTCTTGCACCCTAGCAGCAAGAGATATCTGCAGGTTCTTGGCCATAGTTTCATCGCCGCTGCTAACTCCACCCTGTTGTTGGGCTTCCCGTACCATTGTCTCAATCTTCTTAACCGCTTTCTGGCATACATGAAAGGAGCGCGTGATATCCTGTGTGAGTCTTTCTATAACTAACTCATCTTGCTTCCTTACGTCCTCGTCTCCGAAACCGGGTAGAAGGTGTTTCTGGTGTAGCTTATCGAGGTGGGAGGACTTCTGCGCAATGTCCGCAAGTAGCTCCGTCACTTCCTCCTGTACGTCAACCCAGCGCGGGGGTAAAACGTCCATCTCGATAATTGCGTCGCCATCGTCGTCGAGACCGCCGGATTCTGAAATAAGTCTCCGGCTTTCTTCAGGCTGCGACAGGCTATCGGAGAAGCCATTGGAAGCTCCGAGATAACGTGGCTTCTTGGCTGGATGATGCGCGAACGACTGGCGGTAGGATATGTAGCTGTATCGAGGATGGAAGTTAGTTCATGATCTTCGCCATTCTGAATAATAAAGCCTGGGATGCAATTACAGATTGGTCCGGTCCCGCCACATTGTGAAGGGTAGGAAGAGAGGGTCGTTGGTCTGCGGTGATCCTTCGTCGGGGACACTCTTAGGCCACCCTGATCATTGTCCGGCCAGGGATGCCGTTAGAATGGGTAGCGAAATTCGAGTCACAATAAATTCAGAGCAGAATATCTGGACATATGAAATGGCAGTGAGGGGTATAGGCCGTTTTTCCGCGTCGTAGAATCAAGTTTCGTAGGGTGTATTCGATAGAACCGCTGTACTTCCCGGAGCTCCCCATCTCCATGTTGCACATGAAGGGACGGCCGCACCAATCCCAATGTGGTATCAACCGTGCCGATCTAAACGTATTACGTCAGCCACGATGGTCTGAGACAATGCCTGAGTAATTATGCGAGATTATGCATCTCAATAGGATTGGTCAAGTTCGGAAGATGATGTCCTGGATGAGGATAAGAGGTCCGTCATGGGCGAGAGATACATGTGGTATTGCTGTCTAGTGTGTTCCATGAATTACACACTGTAGATTACATGCCGCACCGTCATTGCCTGTCACAAGAGAACTATCTTGTGTAGATGCTACTTGGCTACTAGAGCATTATGAGACAAGAGTGACGGCTACCTAGTATTTCTATATCTGAAGCAATACTTCGTGATAACCGGTCGTATTGGTCACCCAGCTGATGCAGTCTAGACACACATATAGTGAGATACTATCAAGAGGCATTACCTAGGGATCAAGTTCGGATAACAAGATGTTGATAGGAGCACGTAGCAGCCGTGTCGGATGCTCTGAATGCGACGAGATGTGGAGGGCTAGAAGGAGTAGACGAATTAATGATCAAACAGCTGCAATGGGGCTATCTCACGTGCAGATTTGTTATGGTTTATTTTGGATGTTACAAGCAGTTTTGGCAGGTCAAATAGGAAGGATTGAGATCGGAAATTAGTGATTCCATTGCATGCTCTAGCCTGGATATTGCAGACTATGAGCAATCATGTTGGCAATGGAGGTTGTCAGTCTCACTTTGCATGATTATAGAGTATGCCAAGCCCAGATAACTTGCGCAGTTTTTCCGTACTTATGCCGCCTAAAGAAACAAGCCATGGTTCTAATTGCGAAGGTTTTAATCAAGGGCATAGAAGTCACAGGGGTTGGAGAAGAGTCATTTTCTGCTTCGTGGGTTGCATGACTGAACCCTCAGGTACAGGAGTGTCCCATATCAAGGTTCCAGGGTATAGTGTCTGAACAAGGTTCGTCCTGGTCAAAGGCAGGCGGGACTTGTTGCCTTCAAGCTTTGGTACTGCCGGGATCCACGGCTGGTCGTCACCAACTGGCCAAAAGGCGCCTACTTACAGATTGCATGCAAGGCTGCGCTCCGACTTGCAGCCATTCAAACGAATATGTTTAGCCAACGGGCATTTTCATAAGGCAGATATGACGGGACGCGGCGAGCCTGCAGCAGCTGAAGCAAAAGCAACCAACCAAAGCATGGAGGGGGAGCGTGCAAAAGGAGGCGAATTGACAGACGGGCGGGCAGGACAGAACAGCGTTTCCAGGCGCAGAGGGCACATGGTGGCCAGGGCGGGTCACGTTTCAGGCATAAGCGACCGCCTTGCCAGGCGTCCAGCTCAATGGTCATTTATTATTATGATGGATTCGGGTTCCCCTTAAATCATCTTCCACCAACACCACCACCACCTTCTCCTCCCCCCACAGCCCTTTACCGCTACCGTTCAAGCCACCAGCTTTCTCGTTCCCTTTCTACTCAGCTTCATTACCCTCCCGGGACTTCTCACATCCCATATCAACCATGGTATGTACCTCCTTCCTCGCTGTCCCGGCCAGTTGCGTTGAAAATCCCCCACTTTGCGGGGCAGATCTGCCTGGCATTCTCGACAGGATTGCTGACATCGCATCGTCTAGGCCGACTCTCTGACCGAAGAGCAAGTTTCTGAGTACAAGGAGGCCTTCTCCCTCTTTGTGAGTGCTTCCTGAATGAACCCCCGGTCACTCATCTTCACCGGCTCATAATGCTAATGTATTTTCGTACTCAATAGGACAAGGATGGCGATGGTGGGTGGAATTCTGTCCCCTTCACGTTTTACCTGTAGCGCCCGATCCGACCGCGGGATTTCGACAGCCATTCCCCCATCAATCTGAATCATTATACTGATGTACTCTGGAAATAGGCCAGATCACCACCAAGGAGCTCGGCACTGTGATGCGCTCCCTCGGCCAGAACCCCTCCGAGTCTGAGCTTCAGGATATGATCAACGAGGTTGACGCTGACAACAACGGAACGATCGACTTCCCCGGTATGTGATAGATCTACGCCTGTAAGGCGGGAATGCCGTATGGGTTGTGATTGACTTTTGCCGCCAGAATTCCTCACCATGATGGCTCGTAAGATGAAGGACACCGACTCCGAGGAGGAAATCCGCGAGGCTTTCAAGGTCTTCGACCGCGACAACAATGGCTTCATCTCCGCCGCGGAGTTGCGCCATGTCATGACCTCCATTGGCGAGAAGCTCACCGACGACGAAGTCGATGAGATGATCCGTGAGGCTGACCAGGACGGTGATGGCCGCATCGACTGTATGTTTCCCATTCTTGATAAGCCCATGATATGACATGCTAACTCTGCTACCAGACAACGAGTTCGTCCAGCTCATGATGCAAAAATAAACGGCTCTTCATGTTCTATTTGTCTTGTGTTAGCGGAAAGGGTGGGGAACAATGAAATCTACTCCACAATGTCCCATCTTTTATCCCATCCCGTCTCTTGTAGTCTCATCATTTTGGCTATGACTATTATTCATCTTGATGATCGAGCGCTTCGCATTATCACTGTTGGTTCTAATGTTGCAGGAATGGTAGAGGCGACCATAGGTCTAGACTGGTTTGAGCGAGCTGAGATTGAGTATGTCAGACAGGGAGGGCTGTCTTTGCTGGGAGTTCCTGCGTGATGTGACTCGCAAGGGTTATTTGTTACTCTTCATACCCACTTACCCCTTTCACCATTGTCCATAGTCCCGTGTCATGATTCGTTCCTTTAACCGTCTGATATCTCGTAGTGGCTCGATTTCATCGGATAATAATCACTTTGATATTCTAGGACTGTTTTGATGTAGACAGGAGATAATGGATTTATGCTGCTACTTTGTCAAAGTCCAACACTCTGCCTCCGGGTCTCAACAAAGAGCACCGAATGTGGAGGCCTTATGTTAAATAACCCTGCTTCTAGCGCTTTTTGACGGCTACCACTGCACATCGCGTACATTCCTTGTGCCACATGCCACCCGGAACTTAATATACGAGATCTCCCCCTTCAATTTCCGATCTGCCAGCTTGATGACCATACGTCTTCTTAAATCAGCAATCTCCCAAGACATTTCAAATTATGTCCATCTCAATATCGAGGCCTAGTTATTTTACCGGTTGAACCTAAATATCTCCATGAACTGCCTCGCCACATCCACACCCGCATCCGGATCCGGATCCTCATCCGCTTGCTGTAGGTTTGCTTCGTCAGAAACAGTATGTCTGCCCTTCTGTTTCAACCTTCTCAACCGATCCTTAGCTTCCTTCCCCACATCCGGCAATAAGATAGCTTCCCTGGCCCCCTCAATGCCCAGCCTCGCCCAGAATTCCCGGATCAACGCCGCACTGGCTGCATACTCGGCATCAATATCCGCATCTTCGATAGCATCCGGGAACGCCATATCAATCCCGGAGTCGTCATCATCAGCTATTTGCCCATCGCTCGGATTCCGTGGTGCTGAAATCGAATCGACTATACAGGGACCCCGCCATTCAATCTCCACAACTGTTCCGCGCACCCTCGCTGCTGGCTGAGTCTGTCGCACATCACCCACTCGAACCCGAAAATCACCCACATCGTAGACCACGCCGCCTGGTACGGTGACCGTGTGTCGATGGCACCAGAAAGGCTGGCAGGCGTAGCCGAAGTGCTGGAAAAGAGCATTACAGGATGGAAGCGGCACGGTGGTCATGACCATTGGTCCTCCTGACGGTGCAGCGGCATTAGATGGGGTGGAAGGGGTGGGCGCTGTTGCGCCTGGAGCTCCACTTTGAGGAGTAGTGTTGGTGGGTGAGCCAGCTGGCGTGGTATTAACACCGGTTGCCGTGTGGTGAGTGGTTTTTTCTAGTGCTTCAGAGGTGTAGATGAAGCCGTGATTGGAGTGAAAAGACAGTGATAGGAATTGCATATAGCGCGGTTGAACTTGGCGCTGAGATGCTGAGGCTGGAACACATGATGGTGTATCGCGCATTAGCCTGTGTTCGAGGAACCAACGGCCTACTAATGTTGGTTCGTCTGCCAGGGCTGTATGTAGGCGCTCTGTGATTGTGGCTAGCCCTGTGGATGCATTTGGATTGGAGGGGATGAAGTAGACTCTGGATAGTTAGAATTAGCATGATATGAGGATGAATCATGGTTGGTGAGCACTCACCCTGTTATAGGCATTGTATAGTATTTGAAATTCTCTTGATAGGTGATGTAGGTCTATGGAAGGTTTTTCTTGTCCTTGAGTAGGGCACCTACAGAGAGATTCACGTGCCAAGTTAAGGACACAAGAGGGGTATCTTCTTGAGAGCAAGGAAAGAGAGAAGTGCAGTAGATATGTGTAAGAGTCAATGACAATAGTATGGGCTCAATTGATAGTGAGTTTGGTAGTAAGCAGGCAGCACAGGTAATTCATTTGAAGCGCGGATCCGTTTATGTCTAATTACACATCAGCATATTAAGCATTGAATGGGACCATGCTATTGGTGGAGATTTATCTAGACATACCAAGAAGAATGCAATAGCAGTTTATGTTGCTTTGAGTATATCACCCACAGCTTTAGTCGGACTGATTGGACTGTCCGTGGCTTTTTCGGGCATGTGACCCGTCATGACTTGGAGACAGTGTTGACTGCCTTGGGGTCCAGGCCACAGAGATGCAAACCGGTCAAACACCGCCCCCAAGCAACATTAACTCACTCCGACCTCCGACTCTCATTTCCTCCATCGTCTGTGGCTGTTCACTGGCCCATCCTCCACTTCGAGTACCAACATTAATCAAATCCTGGGCCGTATGGGTCTTCGGGGCTCCACATCTCACATTTTATCTCCGACTCTGTCTCTGATTGAGCCACAGCAACGTCTGAGATCCGTCTAGACTTTGGTCTGGAATATCCAGGGGAACACACTTCCACTTTCTGTTCTCTACACAGTACGCGCGTATGTCTCTCCTTGCCAAGACGCGGGACAAATCCTCCGGACAATGAGGCTGAGACCACAAAGGGGTCTTAGTTTCGGAGTAGTCGACGTCAAGTGGTCAAGAATAGAAAATCGCACCCACTCCGGGTGGACTAACACTCCCTATTCTGCGATCCTTGAGACCGGCCAGGGTCCAAGGGACCACTGGCTTACGCAATGAGCAGATCCTTTTGCCATATTGCTTGTTTACGCTCCGCTCGACTATTACTTACTTTGGTAAGTCTTGTTGCCAATGAACCTTTTCAGCCATTCACCCTTTCCTCTTTGCGATCAACATGCCACCCATGGCTAGGTGCTTGTAAAATGGAGCAGTAAACGCTCGGATGCAACATACCTCCACCGCAGCGCCAATGCTTATTTGCTCGCGACAACTGGGATAGAAAGACCGGACCTGGGGCGATCCTTAACAACAGGGTATATACGGTGCCCATGCCTTGTCTAGTTTGTACCAGCGTGCTGCACTTGCAAAGAACCGTCGCCTTGGTCGGTCCTTTGGTGTTTATTCCCAGAGCCATCCCCTCTTTCTAATCTCGTCGGCGTTAGCTCGCTGGGCCGATTACTGGTAAACCTGGCATTGAGCATGCTCACGCATTCCCGATGTTACCTCTCATTTGATTAATATAACCCATTGCTGTGATCTGCACAGTTGTCCTCTCCTTTTTGCTGTTTGCTCCTCGTTGATTTAGCGATCCTTTATCGAGTATTGTCCATAGTTTGCCGTAACCATGGCGCGACGGAGCTACCTCCTACCCACCATCATTCTCCTATGCATCACATACGCTCTTTTCTCGAGTCTACCGCCCGGTGCGGAGCCACATTATCACCACCATTTCAGAAATCCATACGACCCTCCCCCGCATAAGGAGGGTAGGATCCGTTGGCGGAAGCATGCCGAGCAGTACCCAATTTCGGATTATATCCCTCTTCCTTCGACTGCGCCATCCACTATTCCACGAATTCAGTACAAGTTCTCTAAGGAGTCGTGGTTTGCACGATGGGGACGGGTGAAAAGGCAGCGTGCGGTCAAGAAAGCATTCCAGCACGCGTGGAAAGGGTACAGGAACAATGCCTGGCTGGAAGACGAGCTCTCTCCCCTCACTGGTGGCCACCGCGAGACCTTTGCGGGCTGGGCGGCTACCTTGGTGGATTCCCTAGATACTCTCGTTATTATGGGACTCACTGAGGAGTTTGAGGAGGCCGTGAAAGCGCTTGAGTACATCGACTTCACTACCACCAGCGCCATTCAGATTAATGTCTTCGAGACTAACATTCGGTACTTGGGCGGGCTTCTGGGTGCCTACGACTTGACCCAGGGTAAATATCCGATTCTCCTAAAGAAGGCAGTGGAAATTGCGGACATGATTTATGGATCGTTTGACACTCGTAACCGAATGCCACAGTCGAGGTGGGAATGGACCAGGTAAGACACCCAGCAGATCCCTCGGTTGCCAAGCGATTCCTAGGTGTCGCTAGGGTACCATTATGACTCGGGCTGGGCCATGCTGACTGGGATCTAGATCTGCGGATGGTCTGAGCATCGAGCCGGGCCGAAACACCATACTTGCTGAACTCGGGTCATTGAACCTAGAATTCACGCGACTCTCTCAGCTAACAAAGGACCCTAAATACTTTGATGCTATCCAAAGGATAACGGATTTTCTCGAGGATACTCAGGAGACAACCGATGTACCTGGGATGTGGCCCATGATGGTCAATGCTAAGGACTTGGAATTCGCTGACCCCCGATTCACCATCGGAGGAATGGCTGACTCGACATATGAGTACCTCCCGAAAGAGCATATGCTTCTGGGAGGGCAGACCAGTCAGTACCGTAGAATGTACAACTCCTTCATGAAGGCGTTGAAGAGCCGCCTTCTCTTCCGCCCGATGACCGAAGACGGCCGAGATATCCTCTTTGCTGGGAACCTCCGCGTTACTGGATCTTCCAGCCGGAATAACCTAGAGCCCCAATGGGAGCATCTCAAGTGCTACCTCGGAGGTACTGTCGGCATAGGGTCCAAGGTGTTCGACCGACCCGAAGATTTGGCTGTCGCGCGGAAGTTGGTCGATGGGTGCATTTGGGCCTATGATATTATGCCGACCGGGATCATGCCAGAGATCTTGCATCTAACAGTGTGTAAGGACGATGACAATTGCCAGCTGCCTCGAAGCTCTCAGCCCACCAGCACCTCAAAGGATGGCAAGAAGTTGCCGCCAGGCGTGGCCGATATTCCTGACCCCAAGTATCTACTGCGGTATGTTCGTTCGATAATATGTGACGTTTGTGTTCTCCATCTAATCCCATTTCAGACCCGAAGCTATCGAGTCAGTTTTTATCATGTACCGTATAACAGGCGACCGGTCTCTGCAGGATGCGGCGTGGAGGATGTTCCAAAATATTGACAAGATGACGCGGACCTCGTTTGGACACGCAGCCATTTCCGATGTACGGGACCCCGAGTCGCCGCAGATGGACTACATGGAGAGTTTCTGGCTGGCAGAGACTCTAAAGTACTTTTACCTCATATTTTCCGAGCCGGACCTCGTGAACCTGGACGAATATGTGCTGTAAGTCTAACCCAACTCGTTTTCCCGATACTTCATGTGGACAGTTCACTAAATATTGAGCAGGAACACGGAAGCACACCCTTTCAAGCGTCCAACTGCTTCAAGTACATAATGCGATTGGGTTTTCTGTTTGTTATGAACATACATGGCGAACAGGCGTCGCCATCAGCGATTAACCTTTGACACCAGATGGTCTTTATACATATGAAAAACCATCTGATCAGTAAATAGTCTGTGAAGGCGTCACTGGTCTTTCCTATGGAGTTTCTCATTTATTAGAGCACTAATCATATAGAGGCGCTATGCTATACAATATATACATTTGAAAAAACGAGATTAGTCCATCACCGATAGGATGATAGTAGTAGCCCAGTACTACTACCTCCAATCAGCACCAGACATTCACAAATCAAAATGCCTATCATACTCAATTGTATACTCCACATCCTTCCGAATCATCATCCTTGCACTCCCACCATCACTTCCGACACTGCGCTGCCCATCCATCTCAACAAGTTCAATATCAGGTTCAGCCACAGGACCTGCCTGATGCTCACCATCAAACCTCCTCGATACCCTCCACGATCTCCTCTCCTCATGATTCATATAAGTCTGTCTTCCAGACCCCGCTTTAGACGAATCGACCTTCCACGACCGCGACACTCCACTCGTACTCTCGAGATTCGAATCACCCGCCGTCCCGTAGTTGGTGCTCACGGCCGCCATGAATGGCCGTAGACAAAAGATACTGCATGCCACGAGAGCGTAGTTGAGTTCGACCTGGGCCCAGATGATGGGTGTGACGACGGTTAGTGTGGGATCGGGGGAGTGGACGAGGAGTAGGATGGTGTAGATGTGGAAGACGGAAAAGATTATCAAGCTTGGTTTTGGAGACATAGGTGTCAGTATTGACCTGTGTCATTCGCTTTTTGCGCTGGGACTAAGGTAAAGGTAGGTAGGTAGCTAGGAAGGATGGTACTCACGGAAGCCGAAACATGAACGCAAATCCGATAGTCAGCTTGCGCTTGAGAGGCATGAATAGTCCCCAGAGTAGGAACACGGCTAGCCCAAAGATGTTCAATTCTGTCGCTATGTCTAATGCGACGATGAATTGCCAGCGTTTGGACTTGAGAGCGGATTGTTAGTCTTATTCTTCAGTAAATATGGTAGTTGTGGAAGGTGTATACCAGATTCACACATTGCCCTCCGGAACCCTTCCAGGGACGATTCAATTCGCAGTTCACCGCGATGGTGAAAACGGCCGGTATGACCCATGCCGTGCATAGAGCAAGAGTGGCTATGGAGGCTCGGTTATGCCATTTCTGGGGGGTGAGACGAAGGTAGATGCCGCAGACGCAGCATTTAGAGATGTAGACGGTAATTAGGTAGAGGATGTCGCTGACTGTGATGAGCTAATAATTGTCAGGAAGTAATTAGTATATCTTGCAAGTTGATGGTGAGGCTGTAGACGCACTTTTTGGATTTTATCCACCTGATACTGTTCCAGAAGGTGGATTGATGTCCCGAAACCATGTGACACGGCGTTAAAGAGGAGTGCTGCTTGCACGGTTGCTACTATCTATATCTCAACAATCCTCGTTAACACAGGTATTCAAGATCCAGATCACTTGACTTACCGTCGCTCCAAGGAGAAGATAATCATCAAATGCAAACGGCGGATGGAGAGCAATTCGCACATACAATCTGATAAAGAAGCTGACGAGAGATACGACCAAACCCAAAGCTCCAGTGATGATAGTCCAAGCTCCATGATGCAAATCATCTACCACTTGAAAAGGGGGAGATTGTCCCGGCGGGACATACGGGCCGCTCATGCTATGGCTGAGACAGGATGTGTTGATTGCCTCTCGGATCCTGGGAACAGATAAAGAAAGCAAAGACCATCATCTACGAAAAGCTTCGACCAGGATGGTGGAGATATGCTCTTATACAAGGTGGTATTGTTGCCTTTTTGCTTTTCCAGGATGCGCACTCATCGTGGCTGGTTGGCTGATTTTTTCTGTGACTGAGTTAGAACCCACGCATGCGATGCAAGATACATGATGCACGTCTAGCGATATACCTTTCTCTGGGCACACGGACCACATGCCAGGAAGATGGTGTCGGGGGGAAAGTAAATTCTCCATGGTTAGCCAGTTGAGAGGCGTAATCTGGGAGAGATCAGCAGGTCCGTTGCCTCGTCCTGGATTGCCAGAGGACGGATAATGTGCGTGAATATTCCTACAACTAATCATCGAGAGGCTAACTTGCTGTTTGAGGTAAAACATTGATTAGGAACTCTCTGAAGACCAGAACCTCTATGCCGATCTAGACCGCTAGATCAAGCGCTATCAAGGGGCTGCATATCAGCCCACGTTCAAGATGACGATCTGTCAGGTGGTACAGATGGGGTTCTGACGCAGCGTGTGGCTATGCCAAAGCAAAAAGCATATTGTCCTACAATGGTATGTCTCCAAGAAGGCTCGGGTGTTTCTAGCCTGCAGCTTGGTTCCGGCCCTTTGGGCTACAAGGGTACCGCCGTGAAAGAATACCCCGAGATTGTGTGGTGATCGATCATTTGTTGATGGCTCATGTCTCAATTGCTCCCTTCGTTCTGTCCTTGCCTGATCCCGATGAGTCCAACACTGCGCTCAACAACTTCACAGGGGCATTGCTATTTACGGTAGGGGACAAAGCAATATCTAATGCGGTGGTAAAAAAGATCAATATCGAGATCGACATTTATATTGTTCGCTTAAAGCCACAGACCCGTGCAACTCATAGTGATGGGCACATGCTCGTGAATCGAACGTGGGAGGTTGCCTTCTCTCCCCGCGGAGACTGGCTGCCTTCCCGTCTGTCCTACCCCTTACTTGGGATCAAAAATGGGAATCCTCATCCCGACAGCCAGGACATAGGCAAAGCCACCATAAATACCTCCAGGTAGAGGTTCTAGAGACTTTGCAGTATTGTTTGACGAGGTCTCAGTTTTGAGCCAAGGCATCAATGTCTTGGATATATCCGTCATTGTGCCCAACTGCGAGCTCGTATAGGGGTCCCGAGAATCACACAAGAAAAAGCAAGTATACTTGATCTGCGCTACGAAGCCACCAATACGCGCATAAATTCCAGGATATGTTTCAGAATTGCCTTTATCTAGCATGTCGTGTCCGGCTGAAGATTGTGACCCAGCGCCACAAGAATGCGTTGACACGGATTAATTGATACCCATCTGCCTACCGTCCCAAAGAGAATAACGGCCATTGTCTGTGCCTGAAATCTCGCAGTGTCTGTCCCAACTGAGATCATACACCCTTGGTCATTAGTCTTCATCATGGCCCTCGAGAGTGGCAACATCGAAGGGCGAATATATGTGGAAGGTCCTCAGAATGTTGAGAAAGCACCCAAGGGCCTTGTGGCCCCTAAGTACATGGGTACTATAAGAGACCAGCGCGACATGAGTGCTCTGGGTCGTGCCCAGGTCTTAAGGGTAGGATGCTAATTTCTATGCTATAGCTGTCGTATGCTAATGCAAGATAGCGAAATTTTAGATTCATCTCAATCCTTGGATTCGGCTGTACATTGATCTCCACATGGGAGGTCATCTTAACGTGAGTACTACTACAGAACTATAGTTCATTGATTAATATATGAGCAGGTTATTGACCAGTGGCCTGACAGATGGAGGGACTGCTGGGTTGATATGGGGTTTCATCATCGTCACAGCCGGCTTCGCGCTTGTCTTTGCCAGCATAGCTGAGATGGCATCTATGTACGTCTTAAGCCCCTTGAGTATGTATTGCTCGGAAGGAGAAACAAAATATCCTAATAAGAGATCAAAGGTCACCAACATCAGGTGGTCAATATCACTGGGTATCAGAATTCGCTCCTCGCAGGGGGCAGAAGTTTTTGAGCTATATAACGGGTATGTCGAGCATATATGCGCTCTCCCAGCCCAAGACTGACAAAGACGCCAGGATGGCTGTGTGCAACAGGTTGGCAATGTGCCATTGTAGCCATTGCATATTTAGCAGGTACAATAATTCAAGGGTTGATAGTGCTAAATCATCCGACATACGAATTCGAGCGGTGGCACGGTACTCTGCTGGTTATAGCTATCACGGCATTTTCGATCCTATTCAACACATTTCTAGCCAAGAATCTCCCTATGGTTGAGGGACTGATACTCATCATTCATGTTGTGGGTCTATTTGCTATCATTATCCCACTTTGGGTACTTGCTCCTCGAAATAGCGCAAAGGCTGTCTTTACAGAATTCTACGATGGAGGCGGATGGGGAAGTCCTGGCACCGCTACCCTTGTCGGCTTGTCAACTACTATAACTTCCATGATTGGATATGATTGCTCTGTTCATATGTGTATGTGCCTCTTCATCCTCGAAAGTCTGGTTCTAATACAAAGATAGCGGAAGAGATTAAGGACGCATCAGAAACACTCCCGAAGGCTATGATGTCTGCAGTGGGTGTTAATGGCATTCTTGGATTCATCATGATTGTTACCCTATGCTTTACTCTGGGAGATGTCAACAACATCTTGCAGAGTCCAACTGGATTTCCGTTCATCCAGATATTCTACAACACTACCCGCAGCTATGCAGCAGCAAACACCATGGCAGCTATACTGGTCATCACACTGACCGCCAGCACAATCACCGAAGTAGCCACAGCATCCCGCCAACTGTGGTCATTTGCGCGAGACCAAGGACTCCCATTCTCGTCTTTCTTTGCATATGTAAGTACTATCATACCACAGCTACTATCAGTTCCAGTGACTCACGTATCAATGCACAGGTCACTCCCGGCTGGAATATACCTCTGAACTCTGTCCTCGTCTCACTTGTCGTTACTGCACTCTTAAGCCTCATCAACATCGGGTCCAACCTAGCTCTGAACGCTGTTATCTCATTGACAATAACATCACTCATGTCAGCCTACATCCTGTCCATCGGGTGTGTTCTGCTGAAGCGACTGCGCGGAGAAAAGCTCCCACCGCGACGATGGTCGCTCGGCCGGTTCGGAATGGGCATCAATATTGCTAGTCTCGCATTTCTATTTCCGATATTTGTCTTTTCGTTCTTTCCACTGACAAAGACCGTGGATGCGCATAGTATGAACTGGAGTGTCGTTATGTACCTGGCAATGGTTGGGTTTGCATCGGTGTATTATTACTTCTGGGGGAGATACCAGTTCATTGCACCAGTGGCATTGGTAAAGAGGGACATTGATTTGAATGATATGTGAGGGCTGAGTGCAGTGTATAGCAGTACGCTTGTTTTGTATATGATACAGTCTAATAACTACCGTATGTACATACATCCAACGTAAGAACCTTATATCGAGCGTTCAACCATTTATCTAAAGGAACACGAGTACAAAATGAGCTCTTTCTATACGCAAGACAAAGTCGCAGCCATCTAATGATTATCACTTCCCACCATACTCCCACACAAACAACAACACACTAGAACCAACTATTACTAGACACAAAATCGGACCAGGAAGCGGCCCAGTCCAGGGTAAACCCCGGAAATTGGGTGTCCAACTCACCCGCGGAAATGCTACCCTGCATAAATGACCAATGCACAACAACTAGTAACTATTACCTCCGCGCAAGCAAACACACACTTACACAATCACAGATCAACCGGAGCTATCGAGTCCACGGAACAACATGCCAATACTTACATCATCAGACAGGGATATATTTACCGCTTTCTCAGCCTTGAAACGCGGCCGGTCATTCTCTGTCGGGCACATCGGGACGGAATAAATACCTGATCGGTCATCATCCCTGCCGTGTGTCAGAGAGTGTGTTGTTATGCCAGTGTAACCGTGCGCGCGCGGCGTCATAACCTCTCCAGAAATGGGACGGGTTAGAGGCTTACGGAAGATCCAGGAGTGTCGATTACACCTGATAATAATAACAAGAGGTGTAGTAGAGCAAAAAGGACTCATACTTGCAAAATAGCGGCATACCAAACAAGATGAGCAGCGAGAACAACACAAAAAAAGTACGGAGACACAACGTACTTTCTAACCCACGCCAACCCATAACAGTAGAGACCGTCGCATCAAAAGGAACCCACCCACACGCTCGATTTAGTCACTAGTGAATAAATAACTAACTAACTAGCTGATTACGTAGTTAGTTCTATCTAGTAGATAGCGTCTTCCCGTCCAGCCCCAGAGCCTTGGGTTCTAGCTTCGATCAGATAAGCCCGCCTCCCCGCTGGGTATGTATGCCGAAGGGGGTTGGTTGGTTGGATGGATAGGGTGGGTGATCCTAATTGCGTAACGCGAACCCAGGTAGGCCCAGACCAAGTGTGTCTGTCTGTCTGTCTGAGACCAGAGGAAAGAAGCGCAATATTCAGCTTTCATCTGCTGCTACATCGGACACTCCGACGATAGCATATTCTGTGTGTGTGTGCCACTCACCCCCTTACAGGAGAAACATGAGCCAGAGGCAATGGTTGATTCAATGAATGAATGAATGAATGCACGGGGACACTCGTAACTCCGTAATTCCGGAGTCCGCTGCATCATATTGTGTAATCTGATCATACAGCTAGCCTCTTCTTCCTCCCCTGATCTTCATTCTTCCCCAGCCCGCTATGGAGAACGACGGGTCATGTCAAGTTCCAGAACGTTTTGGTGTGGTGCTAGTTGTGTTCTGGAAAGTGAGGAGGAGCTATTGGATTTAGCGCTACTGATGATGATGTTATTATTGGGAATTATGAGCAGCTTTCGTTGGGAAAACAGGGCAAATGTACTCCGGCGGAAAGGAGGTCCCCCTTCATTTTAATACATTACTCAAG